AGAGCTTGTACGAGCTTCGCAAACTGCGCAGGGAGCGCATGCTGGGAATGATAGAACTTGGAAGAAGCACTACACGACGTGTGCGAGGCTGTGTGTCATGTGGAGCGGTTCTCGAAGCTCTGGGTAGTCGTCTCGTCATGGAAGATACACCTATAGCAGGGTCGGGAGGAGAGCAGTGCCGGAAAGCGTAAGCTGTGATATCTCGACATGTATGCGATGCAGCGTGCATAAAAATCACACGTACTCGAGACATGACGACGCCAGTAGGGGAGGGGAGGATGTTCCGGAGATACAACCACATATCGCATGATTCATGCCGAGCTATGGTCGGATCGACGCTGCTAGCATGCATCAACCCGGCGATCTGTCGTGGTTATTCTAAGTGACTATATGCAGGGAAGATTCCGGCAGGAATCACAACACGCACCGTGTGGGACAGGAAATCTGCGGGTTCGTTGCACCGAGCGCGGTCATCCGTGCTGAACACGCTCCGGCAACGTTGACGACATCGAAGCCGAGAGGGAGCATGAGAGAGACGAGGGCACTGGGCCACAGGTTTTGATAGTCCTGATAGAGATGCGAAGTGACTGCGGTGGGACAGCCTGAGAAGGAGGTGCAAGCGTGGGCGTCGTACAAGAGCTGTCCAATAGCCTGCGCGCCGAGACATCGTGGCAGGAGGAAACCCTGGGGAGTCCTCTCCCAGACGCGAGCTGCGACGACCCTGCAGCCACAAGAGGCAATGTGATGAGGTCAGCGAGGAGGACGTGCGCGAGGGCGGGATCGAGCTCGGGGACCGGGGCGTACCTCGCCGGGGGAGCGAGATCCTTCGTGGCCAGCATCTCGCGAGCTCTCGTGCCGGGCAGGGCCATCGTCCTGGGAGCTGCGGGGACGAACGCCGGAAGCGCGAGGCCCATATCCGAGCCTCCGTATGTCCGCCTCCGAGCGCACAACCCAATCACAGCGCGCCCAGCCTCAACTTTCGACCTCTTCTGGAACGAAGCATTCCATTCCCTTCCGGCCGGCGATGTTTTGTGTCAAACCACCCTTCCAGAACCAGAACCGTCTACGCTTCCGAGAAAGGATACAGACTTCCCAAGAGAGACGAGCGAGTCGGTGTGGCTTGCTGTTGCCCTCTCTCGGATGCCGAACATGCATGCCCGACAGCGACCCGCCAGGCGCATGTAGTTTGGTCCAGAGGTCTAAGGCAAGCCGCATGCCGGCCGTGGGCGAGACGCGGTGGGAGCTTGCCATTGCCTGCGCAGTGCAGCGAGTGCGTGGTGGGAAGTGTCCGATACCCTCTGTGACTTCCGTGCATTCGATGGTTCTCTACTTGTCCTTGCTTGTTCTTCCTCCCAGAGAGACGTTCCCGACGTACACAGCTACTCTGCCTCCGAAGCGGCAGGCAGAAGCAGCGAGCTCACAATCTGCGTGAGGCGGCGCCGCAAATTCACGTCATTGTTCTCGAAGACAGTGTGCACGTGCGACGTACCCCCGCAGTGAATGCATCGCAGACAGCTCTCGACGCGTCAGGCGGGCTTCTGGAGCTCGTGTGTTCGATGGCGAGAGTACAGCTGAGAACAGGTGGTGCAGAACCCGAAGCGCCGGGCGTCGAGGAGGGAAACGCGAAAAAGAGCCGCCGTGATCTGCACGCACCCTTCTTTGGAGTTCTCGATTTCCAGAAGCTGTCTCCGTCCACTCATCACGTTTCAGGGAAGACGAACTCTCCGTCATCCATCTTCTCCGCACCGAGACCATGGATTGTGCTTCCCGGCGTTCTAGAAACCTGCCAGCCAAGTTGGAAATTCGTCCATCAGGAGCTCCTCTTCGGCTGCCAACACGCACAATTCAGCCCGCAGCGCAATTCTTCGGCATCACCTCGCAGCAGAGTCCGGGGTCCACGCCCAGGTGGTTTGCTCTCCTGACGGCGGCGACGCGACCGCCGGTTGTCTCTGACTCTCTCGCAGGGCCGCCAACGAGGCTACCGGACTCAGCTCAACTGTCGTGATCGTGACTCGTTGACCTCGACGTCGACGTCGACTCCCGGCCCAGCCCGTCCCGCTAGCTCCAGGTTCACAACTATGCGACTAAGCGAAGAGATCATATTGGCTCACAGGTGACAACGCAAGGCTGGCAAGTGCCTACCAACTCTCACCTCAATATGACACTGATAGGTTCTGGGAACTCGTCGTCGAAACACTTGGCAAAATTCAGATGTAAGTACTGCGGAAATACAATCGCGCGGAGCAGGACGTCCATCGGCTGCCTCCTTCCATTGATTGTCAGACTGAACATCCCGCAGGCATATCTCCCAATCTACCATCTTCCTCTCATCCGCTCACCCGTCTTTCCCAGTTGTGAAGAACCAGGCATCGTGACCTGCCAGCAGCACAGACACAGGTCGTCGGTATCCCGTCGCTTGGTGCTAACCTGATAGTGTGTTTGCTCACCCGCCACACTCTCGGCCAGTCCTTCGGGTTCGCCTTCTCACCTCACAACGTGTTAGCGGGCAGGCGAAACGATAAGCATCCAGAGAGCCTCCGGACCTCCCGCCTCGGCTCGCATGCCGCTCGTATTTTAGGAGAGAGAAATCCCCCGGAAATCCAACTACAACCGTTGCATGTGCAAGCTGCAGCCTCCATCATGAGATGAACGAGCAGTTGAGTGTGCTCTGATCCATGTGGCGTTCGAACCTGCCGCTGACCCGTCACCGGGACGTCGCGCAATATCACAGTAAACGACTTTGATGGTTTAGTCCCGCACAATCCCGGGGAGCCGACCGACCAAACATGTCCTGCTCGGCTGGTCCACTATATCCCCTCTTCATCGACGACTAGTACTGGCCTCTACGGGAGCCACCTACAGACCACTCGGGACAGAACAAGAGTGCTACGCCGAAGTCCGGATGGCTAGGTCGCGCGTACTCGAGGAGGCTCTCGCCGTCGACGGAACCAGATCCCGCCTTCAGCGTTCGTCTGGGTATACAAATCGTACACAACCGCTGTATGACATCTTGTCTTGTCACTGCCAGGATTCCGACCAGCTGACGTTGTGTAAGGTCCGAATTTGAGGCTCAAGTGATACAGTGATAGTGACAACATGTGAAGGTCATCCATCTGGTATGTTCGATGCTCCATTCCACGGCGATGCTCTTTGCTGGCTTCCCCTTGTCCCCTGTAAGGACATATTGCATGCCCGTACGCCGTCCAGGCGCGGCGAGGTGTTTGGGTGGGCAGTCCGCAGATTGGGATGTGACGCGCATGGCGCGCGGCGCAGAGTTGGACCCACATGCCAGTGCAGGACCCGTCCCGACTGTGGTCCAGATGTCGGAGGCAAAACGATGCATCATTCCAGATTGCCACCCTCGATCGTTCCGTCGCAGTCTGCAGGCTCCAGGCGGCGTAGTGAAACGCCACTCCGTTCGCAATCGCGCCTTCCCCCTCGTCCTCCGCGGTGCTTTTACTCGTTTCTGTCCACAGATACATCCCGTCGTCTTTCAGGGCCGGTCACGCGTCCAGAGCAGCGGCCTCAATACTGGCGGCTGAACTGGGACGCGCGCGAACTGTACGCGAGCCGGCCGCGAACGCACAACTCGTCTGCTATAGATTAAACCTTGCAATGAACGCGGAAGCCCACAAGAGCCGTTCTAGCTTCGCTTCCCACGTTCATAACCACGCTGTGTGCGTGCCCTCTGCAGAGCTCCGCGACGCCTGGATTGGCTCTTTGACTGAACTTCTGGTTCCATAGATGTGCACCGACGCGCCGATAAAGGGGAGCATGTGTGCTCACTTCATCGATCATGCAGAGCGGGTCGCTCTGCGCGCTCATGCAAACGAAGTTGAGGTGCGTGGCCCCGTCGCAGAGTCTACAGAGCTGATCGACTGCGTGTTGTCAGGTACGAACGGTCTTCATCATATGGGTGCACTGCGTCCGATTGTCAGTTGCAGCCCTGGGCGTCACACCTGCTGAACGTGTGCCTTGTGCCACCATTGTGCCGCCGTCCCAGGTCGCAGCAGCACACCGCACGCTGCGCAGTGCGGCCCCTCGCTATCACCGCCATCCACATTTCCAGACCTCGCGGCGCGCCGTGCTCGGACGTCTATTCTATGACGTTGTCTGACCTTGCGCACTGACGCCTCAAGGATGCTTTGGCCCTGTCCCGCTCCAGTCGGATTCCGCACATACCCCGCCGCTTGCGACCTCTTCTGGCACTCTTGGCTGTCTTCTTGTGCCCCGGACCGTCCGCCCACCCCAATCAATGCATCTGGACGACTTGGTCGATTCTGTCACCTCGTCCTTCTTCTATTCTGCTCTGCTCTTCTGTTCTGCGCTCTTCTGTCACCACTTCCCAGGTCCAGTTCTAGAACTGTCAATGTCAAGAAGACCCTCAATACACTGGTACAGAGCGCTCAGATGAAGCCCTGATCATATGTCTTGTTCTCCGCGTCCAACCGCGCGCACGGCTGCATTATCATATCCAGAAACTCCCTGACCCGCCTCAAGGCAGGACCGCACTGGGGCCAGGCCTAGGAACAAGAGTCCCCCGCCTCGAGGCTCGTGTTGCGCTTTTCCTCTGACACTTCCCCTCCGCTGATATTCCGCGGCGCGACATGGGAGCTCTGGGCGAGCGTCTGGGGTTCCCTTGCGGGTGTTCAAGATTGGATGTTCGATGGCAGCGAGGCGCGCGGGTGCACTGGGTGGCGTCAAGATCGTTATCGGTCCGTCAGCTTCGTGCCTGCGTGCTTCGCGTTGGAGGTTGTGCGGGGTACCTGTACGGGGGAGATGACCCGGGCCGTGTCTGGGTTCTGGCACGGCAGGAGTTGGGAGAAAGGGTCGGACGTAGTGACGTACCGGCAGGACTGGCGGTGGGGAGTGTGGGTCTCGGTGTATATGGGTGTCTGTCAGTTTCAATATTGGCCGTACCAATATGCTTGTAGGTATAGACGGTAACATGAGACCGTACATTACGATATTGTTTGACGGGGGTGTACTGGCATACTAATGGCCTGGTGGTCTAGTAGTATGATTCCTTCTTAGGGTATCCCTTGCAGATATGGGTAGTATGGAGGAGGTCCCGGGTTCAATTCCCGGCCAGGCCCTTTTGAATACTTCACCTTTTGTACTCAGCAGGAGCACGCCGCACTTTGATCCTGGCACGGAATTATATCCACACCACACTGCTTGCCAGACCTTGACTTCAGGTTGCGCCCAACCTTGCTATGCCTCTGAGTCTGTGCGCGACTGTGCGACTCGGATACATTATTACGCCTTCACCAGCGTATATCGTACTATACAACAATTGCTTATGAGTACTGCGTTTCACCCGCGGTCTCACTGCCCACCAGGTGGAAGTCCACCACGATGCATTCCTCTCCCAGCATGGCCAATGCGAAACGGTAGCAAACCACGTCCTCTGCCGAAGAAGGGGAGGCCGGAACCCCCGCTCTCCTGAGGTTCCTCCTCGCGACGAGCCTCCTGGTCCGTGGGCGGTTCGGCCACGTGCTCATTATCTCCCTCTTGGTCAGGCTGTCAAGCTGTAAGCACACTGCCCGATGAACGAGTTAACGGGAACATACGTCGAGGTCGATGACCAGAGCTCCCATATGCCAGCCGAGGGCCGCGGCGCCGAAGCAAAACTTGGGTCGTTTACGCTTCTCCTGGTAGTCGAACCTGACCTGCGTCGGAGTGCGCACATCCGGCGGCGCATGCATCAGCCCCCACCGCTCGTGAAAGGCGTGATTCTTCTGCTCCTGTGTGGCGAACCCGCCCGGCTGGCCGACGGGAATATCGACAGGATCGCCGAGGCCGAGCGCACCCCTGGAGAATGCGCCCCAGGTTAGGAGCCTGCCGTCGGCGGTGAGCGCACCGTAGTGGTAGTCGCCGACCACGCAAGAGATGACGTCGCGATCCTGCAGCTCCGGAATGATTGATGGAGCGAAGTAGTTATTGAAGTTGTCCTCGTGTGGGTTAGGATTCGTGGTCCGTTGAGGGGGTATCTCGTGTCCTATTAAGACGACGGACTTAGACCCGGACGAGTAGGCGAAGAATGTCTGGAACGAGGCGGAGATCTAAGACGCAATCAGTTCCCAAGAGAGCTCGCGCGAGGGTACCCGACATACGTGTGTTATTTGCATGGTCTCTGGCGCAACGACAGGTGTCGGATTCCCAGGACTCGGTCTGTACGCCGGTTGGTCCTTAATCTGCGAGATGTCGCTGAATAATGGAAGCTGTGAATGTAAGCTCAATCGTTATCCTTCCAGGTGAACCTCCGGTTGACATACATATTCCCAACGACCCGCTCGGTAAGTCTCTTCCCCGTACAGCTCGCCGTACCGCAAAACATGCCCTTTGTTCGTCAGTCCCAAGATATTGTTGTCGAGCGAAGCAATCTTCACGAGCTTCGTCTCCTTATCTCTGTCGTCTTGAGATTGACCCGAGCTGGGCAAAACCGGAAGATTCTCCACGGGGATTGGGGGCAAGCGCACGGGATCGGCGCCATGTAGAACCCACCAGTAGCAGGGCACGACATTCGGCTCGTTCTCCGTTGGTCGCGCCTTCGCAGCTGCCTTGAGTGCCTCGTTGTCGGACGAGTCCAATTCCTCCTTTTTCTGGTCTGCGATTACCTTCAACCTTCCCCCGAAAGGCCAGTAAACGAGAACGTCTCCTGATTCGGTGAGGATAGAAGAAAAAGACCAACCACTCTCGACCTGCTTCGGAGTGGTTGCGGGCGAAGACCTGTCGATCAGCGAGGAGCTAAGGCGGTATGGGCGACCCCAGGACGTGAACGTCCAGATTTGTCCCTTGGCGTCCAGAGCCGTCGTATGCAAACGACCGCAACTGTGGATGTGGTCAAGACTTATGCATGTACTTTGTTGAACAATACTTACCTTAGGGCGCGGAACTTCTCAGGAAGCTTGAGTCGTACAGGGCGCTCGGCCTTCTTGGACGGTTCCGAGAACCCATCACTGCGCAATGCCATGCTCGTGCCGTCGAGCACACCTGGACGAACATCGGCGTATGCTCATCTATGAGCAAGGTGAATAGCTCACCCCAGACGTAGATATCTCCACGGGAGTCGATAGCGTGAAAAGACCTGCAGTGAGAGGTTAAGTGAGATACTTCTGGCGGGGAAGTTCTAAGGTGAAATGAGGCGCATTGCAGGCTTGTCGCTTATCGGCGTTTTGGAAACGATTCGGACGCGCCAGGGCCATATTTGGGACGAAGAGAAAGGTCACATACATTCCACCTGCTACAAGGGAAACCACACGAACGCCAGGAATGTCCAGACGTATCGGATAGGGAACACCATCGCGGACGTTCGTCTTGGGGAAGTCAAGAGTGCCAAGACGTCCCTGGCTCTTCTCACTACATATAACCCAGGAGATGAGCAAGCATCGCGAATAACAACGGAAAAACGTACCCCCAGACATATACATGCGAGTTGCTGAGTCGTTTGTAGATGATCTTCCATCCAGTCTTGCGCGCGGTATCGGATCCTGAGAAATTGAAGTCCTCCTGGATGCGTCTGTGCCAGAATATCTCGTCGCTAACCACAGATCCGAAGAAGCGATTGGTGCATCCGAGGTTCAGTATGTCGCGGACCGGGAGATAGTTGAAGATCTGGTCAAAGAAGAGTTCTACGGGCAGATCTACAATCCCAGACATCGCAGCACTGAGCACGTGGGGTATACCAGAGACAAGAGCGGTGTGTGGTGGATGTATGCCTGGCGGTGGTGGTGGTCCGGGAGCAAGGATGAATTCTAGGAATCCCGCCCTGCGCCCTCCTGCGCCGCAATCAGGCCAACCTGGACAAGGCCAATGACGCAAGAGAGATAAGATAAGATGCCTGCCAAAGTTAATCTAATCTAGTAGCGCTTCACGTGCGTCGAGTAAGTGCATGCGCACTAACACTGACAGTAAGTAGTGCGAGGATTCCAGCTTGACCTCCTCCGCTTCCTCCTCACCTTTTCCACTCCCCTCCTGCGGGACAGGCTTCGGCGACATGGCGTCGACAGCACCGCCCACGCAGGTTGACGTTTTGGACCAGCTCTTCCAAGGTCTCAAGAGCAAAAGTTCAGACGTCCGAGCACAGTCCGCCCTGGAATTGCAACGCTATGTACGTTCCGAGTGTGTGGTCGTCTCGTCTCCTAATATCGAATAGATATCCAATACCATTCCGGAGCTCTCTTCTGACACCGCGGCAAAGCTATGGGAGGAGATCATCAACAAGATTTTCGACCTTGTTCACAGTCAGACGACGGTGGAGAAGTTGGGAGGTATCCTGGCCATAGGTGCGCGTCGTCAGTCTTGCCTAGCGTGTATAGTGGGCTCACGAGCTATTAGATCACTTGCTGAAGGTGGAGGGAGAGATTGAATCCAAGAGCAATCTCTTCCGACTCTACAACTATGTCAAGGCACTCCTCCCCGATGCCGACATCAATGTTATGCTCGCAGCCTCCAAGACTCTCGGCCAGATTGCGGAGATCAGTGGACCCGCATTTGGCGACTACTTCATGGACTACGAAGTCCAGGCTGCTGTCGCACTACTACAAACCGACAAACCGGAGTTCGGAAGACACGCTGGAGTTCTCATTCTGAAGGAGCTTGCGCGCAACAGTCCGACATACTTCCACTCTCACATAGGACTCGTGTTCGACAAGATCCTGGCACCCCTCCGTGACCCTCGCACCATTGTTCGCGAAAGCGCTGCCGAGCTTCTCGCAGCATGTCTCGAGATCATCACCCAGCGCGAGCGACAGACACGGAGCCCTTTCTTGCTCAAGATTCTTCAGGACGCGCAGATGGGATTGAAGATGTCCCCGGTCGAGATTATCCACGGGTCGCTACTTACGTACCGCGAGCTGCTGCTGCATGGCGGCATGGTACGTCTTCTCAAACGCATCTGTCTGGCTGTCACTAACAGCTCCGTCAACGCAGTTCATGAAAGAGAACTTTCTTGATGCTGCAGAACAGATCCTTTCATTCAAGATGCACAGGGAGCCCATCGTTCGCAAGATGGTCATCACCCTGATTCCGACCCTTGCTGTCTATGACACCCAGACGTTCTCGGAGCACTTCCTTCACAAAGCGATGGCGCACCTCCTCACCCAGCTCGAGAAGAACAACGAGCGTTCGGTAGCGTTCATAGCTATTGGGCACGTTGCGACGGCTGTCGGCAGTGAGATGAAGCCGTTCTTGGAATCGATCATGACGCACGTCAAGATCGGCCTTCAGTCTCGGGGGTAGGTTCATTCAAGATTCTGCATGCACGGGGAACCTGACGACCTGAGCAGGAAGAAGAATGCGGTTCAAGAGGAGCCTATCTTCCAATGCGTCGGCATGCTAGCACAGGCAGTTGGACCAAACCTGACGAAGCTCCTGCACGATCAGCTTGATCTTATGTTCGGCTGCGGGCTCAGCGAGCCGCTGCGCCAGGCTCTAGTCGCTATCGCTACTCACATACCGCCTCTTCTGAAGACCGTGCAAGGTAAACGGAACTTCGCCATATGCGCCAGTATATGTATTCACATGATCCTCCTTAGACCGCCTGCTAGATACTCTATCGATCATCCTCAGCGGACACAGCTACAGACCACTTGGAGCTCCGCCATCTCTATATCGCAGCGAATCTGGCACGGCGAACAAAGATGCCGTACCCGTGGACGGGGCAAATTCGGCGAAGGGACCGGAGCTGATCACACTTGCGCTGACAACCCTCCACACGTTCGACTTTAGCGGTATGCAGACGTCAGTCAACACTCAGGAGTCGCTCTGATTCGTAATTATAGGACATGTCCTCAATGAGTTCGTCCACGATTGCGCTCTCCCGTACTTGGATCAAGACCATCCGGAAGTGCGACGCGCGGCGGCATTGACTTGCTGTCGATTGTTCGTGCGCGACCCTATCTGCTACCAGGCCAGCAACCATTCCATTGAGATCATCAGCGACGTGATCGACAAGTTGCTCACTGTGGCTATCGCTGATCCAGGTATGAGGGACACTTGACGTATCTTCGTCGTGACGTGAGCTAACTCGGGACACAGACGCGAGTATCCGGCAAACAGTGCTGTCGTCTCTGCATGAGCGTTTCGACAAGCA